TGTCCAACTGACGGCATAGGTTCACTCCCCACTAAGCCCTCAGAGGGACATCCTTAGAGCTGTCACAAAGATGAGAGAGGCTCCCATTACTACCACTGTGCTTGCCAGTCGCGAGCTATGAGCCCAGCTTCTGGCTGAGCAGTGCTCTCCCTGGCGGAGCACTCTGACCACCAGGGGACAGCTCCTGCATTGAATGTCTGCCCCCTGGTGGTCAGTGTGTGTCATAGCGACCTGTCATTTCTGCTGTTTGGTCTATTTGCATATTATCCTTTTATTATATAGGATATTCACTGGTATGTGTTATATTAATATAATATGTAATTTATAAACTAGCATTATAGTTATTAGAAATACACTTTAATAAAAATCCTGATACATTCAATGTTCAGGATTTTTGTCTTATTACTAACAATATCCAAGGAAGAATTTCACTATACAAAAAGTTAATTTTAAAAATTAATTATAAAAGTAGAGTGGGGTTAATTAACATTTTCATGTCCATCTTCGGCCTAACATTAGATGCCTAACTACTCTCTGATGGAAACGTCTAATATTTATGAAGGGGTTATATTCAAAATGTGAACCAAATATTTACCTTTGTTGATATGAAAAATCAGTTGATTTATAATTTACTTCAGCTGTGAGTGTCTGCAAATATTTTCTGTCTTAAGACAAATTTTGAACAAGCCACTAACAAAATAAAATTGCTAAACCCAAAGGAAAATCATCCAGTTTATCGTCTTGATTTTAGGGACTCCTAACACATGCACTTTTTAAAGAGACTGTGAGGCATGGAATGCTAACAATCTTCATTGTCGGGAAACTTCCGAAAATGCTGCCTGCATGCCTCATGCATCACTTAGAGCTCATTTCCTCTCACTGCACTGGGCTGGACAGCTGGCCAACATCTCCCATCTGCACCGCCCTCAGGCTCCTCCTAACTGTGTTACAGGGTGCTCTTCTGAAATAGGAGTGCTACTTGGAGGCCAATTTAAAACAGGAGAGAAAACATTAAAAAAAAATCTTATGTGAAATAACATTATAAACTTAACTTTGAATTGAGCTATGCAGTAGATTAGGTCAATGAATGGGCCAAAGTACTAAAATGCTGTCCCTAGAATAATTCAGAGGAATACTTAAAAAGTATTACTGGCTCGTAAAACACCAGGCCTGGAAATTAAAGATGTTTATTTCTCAACAAAAAGTCTTTGACTGTAACTCTCTGGCACACTGCCAACAAGGCCAGCTCTTTGGGGGAAAACCCTATGCCAAAGGCCAAAGAGGCAGCTGTGTTATTCAGCTCCTGAGAGCTTCCAACTCAACACCCACACAAGCTCAATTATGAACAAATTAAAGGGATCCAGGCTGAACATAGTAATTCTGGTAATTTAAATAAATAGAGGAAGGTCTACAATTAGTAGGAAAAGATTGATTTTCTGGAAAACCCAGAAAATGACACCCTAACCCCCTTTGAATAAGCATAGTTACATCTAATTATTTAAAAATAAATTTCCTCTTATTCATTATTTTAATCATTCTTGATGTTACTTAAATGTGGCCACATGCATGCTGACAAAAGTATCCACCACATATTAAGGTAGAAGAGCCTAAAAAAAAAATCTTTAATGGAAATATAGGAACTATTGACACTAAGTAAAGTTATAACTAGAGTTTTATACCTATGTTGCAGAGCACATAGAAAATATTAATCATTTATACATTTTACAAATGCAGAGAAAAATTTCAAGTCATTCAGATATTAAATATTGGGGAATCTATTAATATAACTCACCATTTTAATAAAATAAAGAACAAAATTCCCATAATCATTCTGAATAGATCATTAAAATAACTTAATAAGATGCAGCATACATTCCTGATTAAACAAAAAGAGCAAGTAAAAATATTTTTAAGAAGATAGAAATACAAAAATCTTATTCAACCTGGTGAAAACATTTCTACCAGGAACCATCAGCAAACATGGTGATAGACACACACACACACACACACACACACACACACAAACACTCTGTTTAATTTTTAAATTTATTTTGATGAGCTGATCTAAAGTTCATGTAGGAGAATAAATGCCTATGAAGAGCCAAAGTAATTTTATCAAAGAAGAAAAATCAGAGGAAGAGTATCCTGCAAGTTATCAAAATATATGATAGCATGATAATCTAAAAAGGATGGTCCTGGCATGGGACAGACTCATATAACAACAGAACAGCATGTCTAGAAATCAACTTAGGCAGCAAGGGAATTTTGTGTGCAATGTGACTGCATTCTGAATTAATGGGAAAGAGATGCAAAAGTCAATAGACATTACTAATAATTTGTCTAACTTACATGGAGAAAAATTTTCCACTCATAAGCCATGGATAATATTACATCACAATTTGCTACACACTAAAAACAAAGAACAAAACACATACACACAAAAAAAATCAACAATAAGACTTTAAAAGTACTAGAAGAAAATATATAAGAATAAAACTCAAGAGTCATGAAGGAAAAGATGAAAATATTTGACTATAAGGCAAAAACCTTTTTATAGTAATGAGTATCATGCTCAAGCTACAAAAGAAAAATTGTAAGAAATTATTTGCAACATATGTAATATTCTTAAGAAGAGAAAAAGAATTAATTCATAGAAACATTGGCAAAGGATATGAATAAGAAAATTATAGAATAAGAAATACAAAAAGGTCTTCTAAGCCCCCAAACATAAAGAGCTGCTAAAATTCCCAATGAAGCCTAAATTCAACCAAAAGGGGAAATGTAAATTGTAAATCAAGATTCATTCATATAACATAACACCACACATATCTTACAAAGAAACACAACATATAAGATAGACACTTGTATGTAGATGGGGCAGCAAATTAGAGTACTAGAAGGATGCACACAGCAAACTGCTTTAAAACTATGTTTGTGTCTGGAAGGAGAAGGCTTTCTTTTTTATAATAAGGATTTTGTGGCTTCAGAAACCTAAGTGAAAATAAGTAAATAGAACTTGTTCATTTTAAAGTAATTTGAACATATAAACAACGACTCATCAGTATTTGAGTTAAAACACTAGCTTAGCCCCAGCAGCAAAAAATGAAACAAATCAAAGAAGGTGCCGATTGGGCCTGTTAGCTTTTGGAGATTCCTACACACTTGATACAGGAGCAATATCCAAAATAAATTAACTAGACAACAACAGGAGGTTTTGTTTTGCTTCAATTATTTTATTTTATTTTTTTACTTTGTGAAAAATAGTTCTAATAGTGACCCTCAGAGCCCTTTGCAAGACTGTTAGCTTTAAATTGGCACTTTCTGGAAGGAACCACATGTTGATGATTACTTTAAAAAATTTTTTTCCAGCATATTTTACCACTTCTGCTGTATAGTGCATGTTAGCCAATGCTCTTAGTTTGGCGTTAGTGTCCTGAAGAACCCCAATTCTGTAAGCTGAACAAACATTACTATTATCGTTGTCAACTATGGCATAAGTACGATGAAATGCAATGGGTGACTACTCACCATACATATTTTGCAAGGACTGTTTCAACTTGAGAGAGAAAGGCTCTTCAAAACAAACTTATCAGCAACAAGAAACATCCAAAGAAATACCATTTCTGGATACAGATTTGATATTTTTCCTTCCTTAAGTTAAAATGGATGCTGTTTTCTTTTTCACAGTTTTTTTTTTTTTTTTTTTTTAGAACCATAGTGCTGGCCACTTTGAAAAATTATATGAGGAAAACCGTAATATATTTCTCCTCCAAAATGAAGAGCAGTTTTTATCCATTCATCTTCGTCACAGAGGAGTTGGGAAGACTGAACAGGAAATGTTTATCAAGCACTTTATGAAAATAAATTGCCCTTTAAATTATTAGTAATAACCTATGTCATTGTCACACATTATTGCTCTGTTTTTTCAAAGGATCACATGAGAGAAAATACCCCCTTTTGCCAGTGCCCAGCACTGCATCTTTGGTAAGGCTTTCTACCCGTCTTTTACTATAGCTTATTAGAGTGAATGTGTCCCAGGGATCTGTCCAATTTATAGAAAATAGGGTGAATTTCTCTTGTTTCGTCATGAACATTTTTCTGAACTCCTGTAAATGAGTTTACAGATAAGCACTATTTATCAGAGTGTTTTGTAGAACATGCAGTTTTGATTATTCTATTTTCTACTATTTGCTACTAATGAAATATGTAATATGCCTCAAGAAAAAACATTGGCAAAGCATGGCCTCTGAGCATTCAGGAAGCAATGAATAATTCGCTGAGAATTTATGTTGTACCCACACTCCTCTCTAAACATTTGCTCTCCCCAAGAGCCCAATGGGAGGGCAGCAATGTCCTTGGGTATCTGAAAAGTTTCCGGGGTGCCACGTTTGTGCATGGGCCTTGGATCTGCCCTGGGTTCCCTGTGGGGCTCAGAACCTCAATGAAGTTGTTCAGGCAACACCGAGGTAACCCTGGCACCCTCAGTCTGGCAAACAAAGGACCCCTCTTCGCTCCAGTGTTGGGGAGATGGGCATTTAAAGACATGAATCCTTTGCTGCCATTCCTGCCCATCACCCACAGAGAGAGGAAATCCTGTGGAAGAGGATGCATTTAACCACATTATCTTCCCAGGCCCTGCGACACATGTGTATGTAAGCAACGGAAAGTCTCCAGCAGAAGCGAGAGCATAGATCCAAAGGCAGGTGAGTTAAATGCTAATGGTATTCACATCCTCCGGAACGAATCATCATTTTTTTCTGACCTATATGGGCCACTTTATAAAAATAAGTCATCTATCTCTCTTTTACAAAGGGAAGGGGTAATTACAGTGAAGCATGTGAGAGGAAGTGAGAAGATAGGATAACCAATACCCGCTACTCTAGGCTTCAGTAGGCCCTGACCTGTAAGGCTGGAGTTGAAGAAACAAAGGCAGGACATTAGGGAAGACAGATGGACTGAGGCTGGAGAGCTGACCTGGAAGTCACCCCACCCTCACTTACCAAGGTCCATGCTCTTTGAGGCTTTCAGACTCATGGATTCAGGCTGCCTGGCTGGTGTCACAGATCTGAAGTTGATGTGCTGATCTGGAAAATACACAGCTGGATCCATCCCAGAACTGGGGAAAAAAGCCAGATGCCATTTTTAGGTATAGAATAAAATCAATCTCTCTCTCTCTCTCTCTCTCTCTCTCTCTCTCTCTCTCAGAAGCCCCATTTTGAACAGAGACCCTCATCACTCTCTTTGCAGCACACAACTATGCATTTTAAACTAATTCTTGAATATCAGGTTTCTTTCATGAGATGTAGCAATTTCTTTTTCATATACCGGCGTATAAGACGACCCCCTAATTTTACAGTTAAAACATAGGTTTAGGCCTATATTCGCTGTATAAGACTACCCCCCCTTCAAAGAAAAGACTTACGCTGCCATCAAGATCTGCAGGTAATTTTTGTGCAATTTTGGTCTTTTGCCCCCGATTTTCGGTTGACTTTTTTTCGTTTCAAAAGTTGTCTTATACGCCAGAAAATACGGTATGTTATCACGCTCTAAAACTTAAATAAAATATTCTCTGGCTAATATGGTGTTTTCCTCTTGACTGGTTCCCGCTAATTGGGATCCTTTGGTACAATCCATAACTCTGAGTGTGTAAGGCGAGGCAGGAATGCACAGGCACTTCAAAGGATGTCGCCAGATACCAGCAGAGACTAGATTCACGTTAGATGTCTATGGGCTAGGCATGCCTTTCCTCTAAAAAAAGTGAAAGGGAATCCCTTAGAGAAAACCATCCCTTTGAATGACTGATGGCTGCAGCAGTCTGATTTTCTACTTTTTTTAGGTCTAGGATCTAAAACTAATGTTAATGCTGAGCAAATAGTCTACTCATCAATAATACTGAAAAGGAAATAGCAGGGAAAGCCCACTTGACAATTTAGACACAAGATACATCAAATGTTCATTATAGGGTTCCTAATACTTGTAGTCAATCTCATAGAATTCTATTTCTGCTGAACACTGTATTTATTTTACTTGAAGATGGAGGAAATTATATAAGGGAATTACAGATGAGAGCTTCTTTCTTGATCTGGAAGTAAATTATATATATACTAGTGGCCTGATGCACAAAATTGATGCAAGAGCAGGCCTTAGCAGTCACAGCAGCTGCCTGTTCCCTTCCTTGCAGCCCCAGCTGCAGCTTCTGCTTCATCCAGGAGGTCATCTGGAAGGATGTCTGGTCTAATTAGCATATTATGCTTTTAATATATATATATGTATGTATATGTATGTATATGTATGTATATGTATGTATGTATGTATATATGTACACACACACACACACACACGGGAGAAGGTTATAATTTCATATACTATATTAAATTAAATTACAGCAATCTTCTTGGTACTCCTGTATGTTCAGAAGGTAATTATGGGTAAGTATGGTGGTTCATTTTAACATAACTTTATCCTAAAAATCTTAAATACAGTGAAAACTCAAGTCAAGTATCTTGGTGAGTCTGAAAGTAGTGAGGCTGAATTTTTTAAACAGTTGATATTTGACACTATAAACAATAAAACAATGACAACAAAAATAAACTATTATGAATGAAAACCCTTCTAAAATGTACAAGGGATCTCAGTGTCTTAACCAAATATTCCAAAATAAATTTAATCTCATTGAAACTCATTAGTCATGCATATTTAATATTGCCTTACAGCAATATTAAAATTAATGGGCAGCTATGTAACATTGTTGAATGAATGAATGAATGAATGAATGAACCTCCATTATTGTGATGTAGTGGGGAGATGAAAGAAGTACAAATACCACAGTGGGTCTGCCCAGTTCTAAATCCTGGCTACTTATTAGCTGTGGGCAAGTTATTGAACCTCTCCATGCTTGAATTTCCTTATGTAGAAAATGGGTATAATTACACTCCCTGTCTTATAGTGTTGTTAAGAGATAAAGTGATTTAAGTTTGTAAAGTCAGGAGAATAGTGTCTCTTCAGGGTAAGTGCTATAGAGGCTTTTAGGAAACAAGCAGATTAATAGATCTGCTTAAGCTTCCCAAATGAATGCAAATTTCTTCTTTTTGAGTTCCCCAGGCTTTTTACAGGTTACTTAGTCTTCTCTGCTTTTTCAGCCTCTTGGTAAGTCTGTATCTGAGACCCATTTGCTCTTGTTTAGAAGGGTAATGTGGTACAATGGTCAGGGCCCTGGGCTTGCGAGTGAGAGGTGAGAGACCATGGCTTCAGTGTCCTAGTGCACTAAATGAATAGTAATCACACTGACTCTATATGGTTATTGTAAGGATAATTTTGAAATTTGTTAATATTGACAATGGTGCACACAATAAGAGCTCAATAAGTGAGCTATTAATTCTTTTCTTTATTTCTGCAGGTTAGATTGGTCTTTGAATGAGGGCCTGAAGCACTCTACAGTGAAGAGATTATATGTTTTCACAAAAACTTCTTAAGACGTTTAAAACTGCTCTTTCGGTTTTGAAGTTTATTTTATTTTTTTACTTCTTTCTTGATGTTTGTCTACATTTTCAATCGACAAAGCCACTGACATAGAAAATGTACTAGATGTGGTGTCTAGTGATGGCAAAATACGCCAACTGTGAACAAAAATCCTTGACCCACTAGTGCTATTGCCTCTGGCTTTGCATAATGACAACACTTTCACTGCTTCAGCTCATCTTAAAGAACTCAGATGCTACTGTGACTGTGAGTTCCCCCTCAGCCTCCTGTTTGGAAGCACTTGCCTTTAATGATGTTATCTGACCTCCATGTGCACTTAGTCTTTCATCCTTTGATCTCTTGTGATGATGCGGTTTTAGTGTCAGAAAGACTCATGGGCTTCATAGAATCAGAGCCTTTCAGAGCCAGAAGGCGGGAAAGGTCATCTCATCTAACTCTCCATCTTGTAGATAAGACACTCTGGGCCCAGAGGGGAGGCTGAAGTTTCAAGGTCACACAGCTGGCCAGTGGCCTAGCCAGGATCCAAACTGTGGCTTCTTGAACTTTTCCCAGAGCCACAAACACATCGGCTAAAATGGTGGCCAACCTGAGGCACAGGTTGTTGCTGATCCTGAGTCCAAACAAAGTGAAATGTTTCTTATTACTATAGATTTGCTCACTCTCTGATGCTTCTTGCATTTTAGATTGACTTTTTTGTTTGTTTGTTTCAGGAAAGGGTTGCATATCATGAAATAAAAGAAAACTAGAGTCAGTCCAAACAGATGCCATGCGTTATAACGAAAGTCTTTAGGAGGAGGTTTAGGACCAACATGAATGGTCCTCATTGAAACTTGGGCCCCCTGCTCAAGGAAGACTGTGGGAATCTACCCAAAAGAGTAACATACTAGTTAATGGCACTTCATTGTCTTAGATTACTTTACAAAAACACACATGCATTGACAAATTAAGGCTAAAAACTCAAATTTACCCAGACTCTTGGGAGACAACCTTCTCTATCTCCATTAAAAACAAACAAGCAAACAAAACAATAAAAGCTGATAATACCACTTGATGAAATAACATCAAGTAAGGTCCTGTCTAAATAAAGTGAATTTCTTTTTGTAGATATATTGATATATAACCAAATAAATAAAATTAACCATAGTGATATATACATCCACTACCATCCTTTTGAATGTGACCAAGTGTACACTTGCAATGGTCAAGTGTATATGACCAAGTGTATCCTTGCAATGAATTTGAAGCTGATATCAGCTTGGCAGATAGTTAAGGATGGAAGTAAGTCTAATATGGCATTATGGGATTAAAGCCAATGGGAGCATACAGGCACTTCAGTAATGAGTGCAGCACTGAATTAGTTAACATGCCAATAGTTTAGGCATGGAAGTTTGACTAGCAAAACAGTCTGCAGTTTTATGCTACGTATGAAAGATTCTTCAAGTGGGAGAGTGGCACGATGATTGGAAAATGTGACGCATGTTACTCTTGAAGGAGTCTGTGTGTGCTCATGGCTGAGTAGGCCGCAGTGGATGCTGCGGGAAGCTGGACGTTGACAGCAGGCCGCAGACATGCGACAGGTAAAGGCTGTGTTTTCAGCATGAATAACCAGGGGATCTATCAGATAAGAATGATACTCAATGTCAAATTATGCTGCATAATGAATGAACGGGGTAGCATGAGACACACACCAGTGTCCCGAGTGTGGTGACAAGTCTGGAATGTGACAGACATGTAGGACCCAGGCAAGAATGTGCAAGGAGAACTGTCTGAAATAAAGCTGGGGGATAAGTTTTTAGGGGCATGCCAAAAATCATGTCAGAAATCCGAGGTGTCCACAAATAGGTTTCAACAATTAGCTACTCTGAGTGAGAAAAGATGAGTGTGTGTGTGTGTGCGTGTGTGTGTGTGCATGTGTGTGTGTGTGTGTGTGTGTGTTAGAGAGAGAGAGAGAAAGAGAGAGAGAGAGATATGAATCAAGATAGAAGGAAATAGACAACAACCAAATATTGTCTAAGCTGTTACTATATTCTGTCTGCTGTTAATTTGCCATGAAATATCACTATAGAAAATAAATTTCCTTATTGATATTTATTTACTTTTTACTCAGACACATATATTCTAAATTTTTGTCTGCTAATTACTGATATAATGCTACAACTAAGTTCAGTAAAGCCCCGATTTTATTTGGGTTCAAAGTGCAGGCATTAGGTTTGATCCAATCTATTTTTCACTCTTCATGCAACAGCAGTTTCTGCTCCATAAGACTGGCTCCATCCCTAAAGCGCCGCTTCCCCTTTTAGAGGGCTTTCAAAGTTCATTTATTTATTTACGGATTTTGAAAGACAGAATGGCCTCCCAGCCTCCTTTGCTCAGCCATCCTGGACCCCTTCCAATTCTTCCTCCACCCCAAGTTTCACACATCCAAACCCCACTGCTGCTGGTCACCTAGGCAACGTAGCAGCTCGCAGGATGGTGCAGGTCAGGAAATCCCAGGAGGGAGAGCGTTTCAAAGCTTTAGATTTGTTCCTTCTATCTCAAACACGTCCTTGGCTCCGTTTGTTCCTCTCCACCATGCTGCTCTTCCCTCCATTCTGCTCTTCCAGTCCCCAGACTGCAACCTTGTCTAGGGCTTCTTCTGTCCACTCATGACCACCAAACATATGGACCTGATATTGTCACCCAGGCTTGAAATCCTTCAGTGCTTCTCTGCTCTCTATAGAAGCCGGTGCCCAGAGTGAGAGACAATACCCTTCCCATTGATTCTCTCCCAGGTACCAGATGCTTCAGCCACTCTGAGCATGCTCTGTAAGACCCACTCCCTTCGTTTGGGTTTTCCTAACCCAAATTGCCCTTCCCACCATTTCTCTGCCTCCTAAGCTCCTTTCTCTTCTCCAAGGGACCATTTAGACATCACTTCTCCTGTGTGAGCTTCCTCGCTCCCTGCAGGCAGAGTTACTGGCCAGCAGATTGTATTATATCTGATGCTCAGCAAGCAGGCTCCTTCCTGCTGTGTGTCTGTCTCTTCCAAAGAGCCTGCATTGCTCAGGGCACGGGTGTTCTCTAATCTGTGTACCTTCTGCAGTGGCCAGTTTAGAGCTCCATAAATACTTTTGGGTGGATGAGTGAGCAAATTAATACTCTAATACTGTGGAGGAGAAATAGAGAATCAGGTTTGAGACAATGGCATACTTTTAATTGAAAGATTACTGTTGATAAATAGAGCAATTCTAGGGAAGGGATGAGGACAGAAGCCAAAACACAGAAGGTTAGGGAGGGAGAGGGGAAACAGAAATGGAAATTACTATTTCAAATCATGTGATGAAGATTGACAACAGTAGGGGCCAATATAAGCTGTTTGTATAGACCATGGAGAAAAGCGCTTTACAGAAAAGGTCAAGAAAAAAAAATCTGTGGAGACACTGAAGCATCCAAAAACACACTTGCTAATTCTCACTAATTCTATCTCTGTGACATCTCTGAACTCTCTCTCTCTCTCTCTCTCTCTCTTTCTCTCTCTCTCTCTCTCTCTCTCTCTCTCTCTCTCTCTCTCTCTCTCTCTCTCTCTCATCTTGTTAGCATAGGCAGCTAGTTAGGGATTAACAAAAAGAGAAGGGAGAACACTGCCTGAGGCTGATTAAATCTGGAAACTATAGTTTCAGTCACACAGGGGAACAGCTTCCATCACTGCCAAACAGACTTATAACATCCTAGGGGGAGGAAAGACTGGTTTTCCAATGTCCCCCTTCCCTGGATTAAAGGGGGGAGAAATGGTTAAGGGGAAAGTCTTTTCTTTGGTTCATAAAAGGGAGGAAACACCTGGGAAAAGGTGGGATTGGACAAGGGCAAAGCCTAGCATCTAGGAAGGAGACTGGCTAGGGGAGGCACCGCAGAGCCCCAGGAAGACCCAGGAAACATATTGGCTAGTTTGAAAGAAAGCTTACCTCTTCCCAAACCCAGGGAAACATAGGTAAACTTAACAAAAGCCCCAGTCTCTTTAGCAGCCATGGGCCTGAAGCACAGTGCTCACAGAGCTGATCTCAGGCCAGACTGAGGGGAAGAGACTAAGCTAGACTCCTGGGCCTCTGATGTGGGGGTACAGGCAGGCAGGGGGCACAGCTCTGGGCCCTAGGGACAAGTGCAAACCTGTGGCATCTGAAGGTAGGCTTCTTCTGCAGTGATATGGTTTTAACCCAGCTGGTCTGGATGTGGGCGTGGTGTACTGGGGGCAGTGAATGCCACCTACCAGCTGTGTGCCAGGGAAGTGCTGCCTCATCGAGCGTGGCAGCCTTTTCAATGGCGCGCTAATAAATCTTGTCACTATTGCTTAAAATCCTCCTTCATGATTGTCCCTGAAATGCCTTTCGTGTGACACCACAAGAACCTGTTTCCAGAGAGTGTGGGCAGACCTGCCTTGGTGCCTCTTTCACTGGAACACTCTGAGGCTTCTCCCATCCTCCCCAGGATGGTCCTCAGTACCTTTCACTCTGACTGTCACAGAAGGTACCCGAAGAGGCTGTGTTTCCAGTGAACCTTAACCGTCCTCCCTTTTCCTAACCTATGTCTCACCCCCCAAACCTGGTCACAACATGCTCCTGTCTGCTGAGACCCTACTCGCATGTTAAGATGCATCTCAAATGCCACTTTTCTCCCCTCATGCTTTCTGGGTGCTCTGTCTGGAAGCATTCTCCTCCTCCTTAGACACCCAGAGCATTTTATCTGTATCACTTCTGTAAAGACCACTTTGTACCTTGTGTCCTGCTGGCCACTTTTACCGACTAGCCTGCCACCTTCTTGAGGGTAGGATTTACATCTGGTTTTTCTTTGCGTTGTCCCAAACAGTTTTGCACATATACACAAGTAGAATAAATAAAGTATTCTTTAAAAGGAATATTTAATGCCGCCAGTCTGTCATTTTTGATTCAGGATTGAGGCAGGCAATAAAAATGAATGCACAAAATTAAATATATCCTGATATTCTTTTAAAAATCCCCAAGAGACAGAGATCTAGAGCATGAGTATGATTAACAATCTATTTTGTGAAACTGTCTTTACGTGAGATAGCTGACTTAAAAAAAAATGTTGGAATCAGAGATAGCTAATATAGGTAAGCTGCCAGCTATTTTTTTGTTGTGTTGCTTTAATTTTTAGCAGATTGTAATAAAAAGTATAATAGGGATAAACGTCAGCATTGCTGCAAGAAAAATGAAAAAAAAATTCACAGGATTATCATGGGACATAGAATAGAATAGAATGCACAGTTTTAAATGGCCATAATAAATATAGAAAATAGCAAAGGGACAATTTAATGAGTTTTAAAATTCATCAGAAGAACAAAATCTATGAATTCCACTAGTTAAATGGTGTATATGCTTAGCAAATCTCTCTCTCTCATGCTTGTGTGATTCTAAAAAATATTGATTTTTTTTGGTTTCTATTACAAAATGGATATAACATTGGGCACTCTTTGCAATATTTTAGATTATATATGGCATTGCTTTAATTTCTAGACTCCATTAACTTTCTGGGAACAGCTATTTCATAAAATACCTTTAGGGTTTGCCAATTACAAAAGAAGAAAAATATAAAAAAACCCAAGCTTTATGTCTTCTCAGTTTTTGCTTTATAGCTTCCCATATAACTTTTCTTAGATTTCCACTCTTTCCAAGGCTTTAACTTGGCAAAAGAAAATCCAACCATTTTCTTAAAATATTTTATCATCTATGATGAGCCTTAAAAAATTCCAAGAAGCAAAATACGAACAAGCGAATCTATCAACTATGAGAAGCCTTCACTGGAAAGGAATCATAGGCACTCTGATATTTCCATTCTGGAAAGAAACAGAGTTAAAATAAGGTTTCTGGGATTTCCCCGAAAACCTATAACTAGGAACATTTATGGTGTATCATTTTATCGATGATACCTGTGGCTGTAATCTTCGAGGCCCAATTCCAGAACGGGAAGTGGTGATGGAGACGGAGGTACTTCGCTCTCAGCCCATCCATCACTGGGAAGCAATGGCTCTATAAACAAAGAACAAATGAAGCTGTAGTAAACGGGGGGCAGGATCATTCAGTGCCTGCTGCTGCTTCAGTCCAGCTCTCAGACAAAATTTTCATCAGCACATAAACCAACCTCGAAATAAACAAATCCTCAGACGGAATGGGGAGATTTGTAGGGGAGCTAGGGCAGCCTGGACAAGGAACTCTAAGCCTGCTAATATGTTTTTAAGCTGGTGACCTGCTGGCAACTCCTGGCAAGTCCATGCATCTTGACTACCTTTTTCCATCTCAGGAAAGGCTGACACACGTTCCTTCCCTGTGATGAGTGGAAGATTAACAAAGCTATTTCTTTCATGACAACAGTTTTATAAACAAGATTCTGTAATGAATGCTCTGGATTAGATGGTGACTTAAGCATTCGCCTTAGTGACAAAAAGTACTTGAAAAAAATCATGAGATGCAGTATATCCACTCCCCATTTAGACACAGTAGAGGGAAAAATACTCTTTTTGCATCTGTTTCATAATCGAAACCTCTAGGCTTGGGGACTTGGAAGCAAAAAGACTGCAGACTGAATCTTGATTTTTCTATCCACCAAAATGTATGCTTTTCAGTCTAATCTTTTGCACTAGACTGTCAGATCTAAGGAGGGACAGCAGAGATCCTATGGCCATCAAGGCTAAAATATTTATTCTCTGGCCCTTCACAGGCAACATTTACTGACCCTTGCTTTAGACTACTCTTAAGGACACTAAAGGCATTGCATTCATCTTTACATCTCTGATAGTGTATTCTACACAATGGAGAGATCCAATAAATATCAGTAAGATTGAAAAGTATAATTCTATTTCTAATGACCACTGCAGAGATAGTGCCTTCCATGCTATGGAGGGGTGGATGGATACATGCTTGTTTTCATGAGAAGACACATCAGGAATAATTGTACTATTAGGTTTTTACCTCAAAGGACCCCAGGAAACACGGATTCAGTGGGATAGGACATAGAACAAAATGTTCGATTTGGGGAAGGGATGAAAGGTTTAGAGGTGACCCCTGTGGCTGATCCTGGACAGACTTGGGGCAATGGGTGACTGAGGCAGGAGATGGAGAACATGTGAGCTGACATGGAGGGGAAGCAGGGAGTAGGGCAGGAAGGGAGAAGTAATCCTATATAATAAAAGGCTAATATACAAATTGACCAAACTGCAGAACGACCGGTCGCTATGATGCACACTGACCACGAGGGGGCAGGAGCTGTCCCCTGGTGATCAGTGCGGGGAGCACCATTCAGCCAGAAGCAGTGAGCACAGTGGTGGTGGCAGGAGCCTCTCCCGCCTCCATGGCAGAGCTAAGGATGTCAGACTGGAGGCTTAAGCCTGCTTCCCCAGGGTAATGGGTCTAAGCCGTCAGTTGAACATCCCCTGAGGGCTCCTGGACTGTGAGAGGGTGAAGGTTGGGCAGAGGGACCCCCTGGCCCTCCCTGAATGTACGAATTTTGTGCACTGGGCCTCTAGGAACAAATAAGAAGCAAACTGTGCTTAGGCTATTCCTTGGCCCACAGAGAGATCTGCCAGCAAGATTCTTCTGAAAATACAGTGTTGGTGGACTTTATTACCATTCACATGCTTAATAGGATTTCACAGTGACCCCCTGGGACACAACCTCCATCCTCATTACCATCCTGGAACCTCGCTTTTTCCACTGCAGGCACTGCTAGCATTTCTCCAACAAAAATGTGAATTTTATGGTGTTACAATTTCTACAAATGTTAGTTCTAAAAATGTCTTTTCTGTGGAACAGCTTGACAGAAATATGCATGTACAAAAAACCAAAAATGTGGAACTGTGGGTGGTATGTACTATTATTACAAAATGGATGGAACACAGCATATCAACATTGGATTTTTAAATATACAAAGGAAAGCAAAAAGGAAAGAAAAAAAAAGTCAATGTTTTGGCTGTAACAGCTCCTTTCCTCACTAGACATTGCATTTTGTCAAATCAATCTTGTTTTTCTAAAAGAGTTCCTTAAAGGAGTGGGTTTTGGTGAGTCAACACTCACTCTGCTTCTACGGGTCTTGGTGACCTATTGCCACCTCCCAGGCGTCTGAAACTTGGCACCCACCAGTGGTTCTCAAAACTTAAAAAAAAAAAATGTTATTAAGATTACAAAGAGGTATGATCATGGTCATCTTCTACAGCATCATGTTTATAAATTCTGTTTATATATATATATATATATATATATATATATATATATATATATTTCTGTTTATATATATATATAAATTCTGTTTATATATTTTTTTCTGTATATATATATATATATATATATATATATATATATATATATATTTATCTCCAAGTCAATATGCTTATAGGAAAAGTAAGAGAATTTTACCCACTGGCCTCTTACAATTAAAATTTCATGAGTCTATGCTTTCATAAGCCTAATTCTTATAACATAGTGTATAACAGATCCAAAAGAAAATAATAAAATAGATGTTTTCCAATGTTTAAAAAATAATGTTTAGTGACTCCCTTCTTGAAATGTCGGAAACCAATCATTGTCTCACTAATAGAAAGAGGCTGGTCAACCTTAAAGCTCTGAAAGGTCAGAGCCAACCACACCCTATCTAATTGAGACAATAGTAACTGAGGCAATTTCCCCATCTTGTAATCATGTAAATCCTTACTGATATGATAATCCACTTATTACTTGCCTAAGGGCTATGGGTGTTTCCCAAAGCTGCTTAAGGGTAATGGGTGTATCCCATAGCAGCTTCAATAAAAGGAATAGCAAGGCCAGAGCCTAGAGAGTCTTCCCACTAGAGCACATGTGTCAAACACAAGGCCAGCGGGCCAAATCCGTTCCGCCAGGCCTTGCAATGTGGCCCGCACTGTGCTGTCATCACTGCACTCCGCTGCGTTTCCATCACAATGACAGTTTATGACTGTTCAGTAAACCATTCGGCCTGCGATTTAGGCTGGATTTTAGATTTTGGCCCCTTCTCTGATTGAGTTCGACACCTGCCTGGCTCCCCATTTGTCCCAAATTAACTCTTTTCTAGTCTCTCTCTTCATTTTAGTGTGTGGCCTCCTCCAGAAACCGGACCCTGAGTGGGCCCTAATCACGCGGGTCGTGTTAAGGGTTCCCATATTGAAAGGACTGGATTTTTTATTTTTCCCTTAGAAAACTGAGGTCCAGGGAGGAAGCGAAGTAGGAACCTTGTAGGTAGCTGATCTGCATGGGTTTTCCATTGGTGTAAATGTTGTTCTACCTGGATCTACATCTCAGGAGGAAGGAGGGAACAGACTGAACTGCCCAGTGTTTGTCTGTGGCCAATGTGCCTAACCAACTCCACTTGTCCATTGGAAATAGCAACTCAGAATATTCTATTCACATCCTAAAGTATGACACATTTGTTTTTAGCATGTTGTTTTGAATGGACTTATTATTTTTTCTGGGTGTAGTCTTATACTCTATGTATAAGTAAATTATACTCTAATATAAGTATAATTTACATAAGTAAATTATGTAATAGTTCCATAATTTTAGCCTTCGTTAGCCTTTAATAGGTACTATCAATATCCTTGAGTGTTTCAACGTACTCTAAAAATATACTGTGCAATTATCACTTCAGCATCATGTTTTAAAGATACTGAAAATTAAAAAAAATATATAGGAAGTAAGGTGCCCAATGTTCCTATGGATGTCACAGGTATACTTAGAATTAAAACCCTAAACTTAGACGGCCACTGAACATGTTTCTTGAGATTTAAATGACAACAAGTCATATTAAGGCCATATGCTTTAATATAGGCACAGGAGGAGAAAGCTATTTTAGTCTGTGAAAAACTTACTGTTCCTTCCCCAGATTCTCCTCCTGTTGGAATTGAAGGTCTCAGGAGAAGATCTTGCTTTGTCAAGACAAATTTTAATTTTTAATAAGATAAGAAACATACCGAGTATTTCTTCATCTGATACATAGTAAAGTGGGCTTATAATGGATATTTTTAGGTAGAAGGACTTGAACAGTTTCAAGGGATCATGCAAAGCAGGGCCCATGCGATGGTACCGGAAATACACTTGAGTTAGGGAGATGGGCTGATCCAGGTTCTGTGTGGATCAAGTGTGTGGTCCTGGGTTAATTAGTTACTCTCCCAACTTCCTATTTCTACATCTGTAAAATGAGGGTAATAATATTATCCACTTTGAGTGTGCATGTAACTTGCTTAACACAGTACCTAACAGACAGCAAACACTTAATAAATGGTCACAGCTGATGCTACTGCTCTCACTGAAATAGGGGAATTTAGAGGAAAAAATGGCATCCCATTCTGATGAAACAATTTAATGTAGAGAAACCTCAGAGTAATCTCAGAGTTGAGAGACTATTTCCACATAATTAACTCCTGGTAACATCTTACATGTAAATAAGGGATTGATTACATAAACAGCACTCCAGTCAATAGATTACTATACAACTACTGAATGTGATGATGTAGAATATCCAATGACATAGGTAGGTGTTCATAATGTGCTATTAATTAAAAATCAATTCCCTAAATATTACATATAGTATATTTCACTTCCATTTAACCTTTATAGACATATTTGTATGAAGGAAAGATGTAAAAATGTTATGGGTTAGTATCTTTGATAGACAGAAGTATGAGTAACATTGACTTTTCTTTTTATTGCTTTTCTCTAATTTTTTTTTTTTTTTTTGGTAATGAATATGTATTGCTTTTACAATACAAAACTTAGATTCAGGGAAACAAAAAAAATTTTCTTGGTGACCTGAAGTAGAATTTTTGAAACACAAAGAAGAAAATCCAAGAGTTTCCTATCTCAAGCTTAGCTAGAAATGTGACCCCCCAGCAGATAAAAAGGGCAGGATGGTACAGTGAGACCTCAGCTACTAGGTTCCCATAGTCACAGTGGTCTAGGTTCATGATATTTACAGAATCAAGCCTAAATCTGTGAATCATGTTAGGAACGTTTAATAATTTAATACTAGTCCACACTTAAATTTTTTTAAAAAAATTGATTTCAGAGAGAAAGGGAGAGGGAGAGGGAGAGAAACATCAATGATGTGACAGAATCATTGATCAGCTGCCTTCTGCAGGCCCCGCACTGGGGATCGAGCCCATAACCTGGGCATGTGCCCCCGACCGGGAATTGAACCGTGACTGTCTGCTTCATAGGTAGGTGCTCAACCACTGAGCCATGCCAGCTAGACCACAATTTTTTTTTTAAGTTTAGTTATTTATACTTAACTTCCAATATGAAAATATTATAAAAAGGAAAGAAAAAAGTGGCAGTTGCCATTTTGTTTCCCCAGGCAGGGTTTGTTTTGCACTAACCCTCCGTGTGTGGGGCATCAAGCACAGAAACTGTCACTGTCGCCAGAGGCAATGCCAGGAATCTGCTTCACAACTTCAGAGTCAGCTCTCCCGCCCACCTCTGCGCAGAGTCTGCACTCGGTTTCATTCACGCCCCTTCACAACAGTAAAAGCACGCTGGTGTTTTCTCCCTCCACCCGGGTGGGTGGCCACGGACAGGCCTTACCTCTCTGCTTGTGGTGTGGACAGTACGTGCTAAGCGGATGCCACGTGCCATCCTCGCTCCTCCTGCAGGTGGCCACGGCGCTGGGACAGCTCTCAGAGCACGGCTTTGAAAACACCCCACACTCTCCAAGCTCCTGAGGGATGGACACCAAGGTTACATTTGCTTTTTAGGTATCTTCCAACCCGGTCAGTGAAAGCAAAGCAAAGCAAAAGAATGATTGATGGATGAACAATCTTTCAAGAGCCTGTTGCCCATAAATCCTCAACTGTGGAAAACCAGGATGGGCCTATCAGTTAAAAGATCCTTCCATCTGGGATAGAAAACTACTGACCATGCGGTCCTGAGGCTCAGGGGTGCTCATAGCCAACACAAAAGGGGACTGAGTTTCCTATTCTTTCCCCCATTTACAACTGGCTCCTTCTGATTTTTCTTCCATCTGGGAGTACAGCTTGTGGCAGCGTCAACACAAGAGCACAGCTCATGCCAAGGACGTGTCTCTGCCAGCCAGCTGGATCCCTCCCTCCCTGGGGACCCGGTGCACACGCTCTAGGACAAGTCAGGTTCGCCACTGAAATGCCGTGAGTGCGGCCCACTGCAGACGCGGGGCCTTCTGGCCAGGAAATAAAACAAGCTGCTATGACCATGCCAGACTGGGATTGCCTGAGAACTTTCTTTCTCTCCCTCCCCTCCTCACCATATCTTCCCCTCCTATTTTGACTTAGAAACTCTAGTCAGTAAACAAATGCACAGTTTCCTTAAAACTGCTGAATCCGGAATCACACCTCAAGCAATGTAGTAGGTGGGGCCGATATGGAGAGCGATCTGTTCAAGAGGATGGAGTCACAGAGTATGGGGTTTTGATCCGCTTCACATTATGCGTCTTCCTAACAGATATCAAGGAAGTCACTCGGAAGCCATCTCCTGGCCGTGCCCTTGACCGTTTGGGAGAGAAACGTGACACAAAGAGAGACACAGATCTGGGCCCAAAGCTCCAAGGCGTTTAGCCCAAACAATGCATTGGATGTATGCTTTCCTTTTTAGTGACAGTATCCTGCTAGTGAGACAAATATTTGGAACATTCATTTTATGCATTCTTCATAATGAGAATGTTTTCAATGCCCGGAGGTCCTTTAGCTTTTTGTCAAGACTTATAACACCTTTTCCACATCTGTTGCCTCTGCACTCCTCGTCAAACAAGGCTGGCACTCGGCAAACTGCTCTGAATTGACAGCTGGAGCCCTGGCAGGCAGGGGAGGTAGGGCTTACCTTGCATAGCCTCCTGCTTTTTAAAAAAAATGGAATTTATTGGGATGACATTGGTTAATACAGTTATATAGGATTCCGGTGAATAATTTTGTAATACATCATCTGTATATTGTACTGTGTGTTCACCCCCCCCCCCAAGTCAAGTCTCCTTCCTTCCATCACTGTTCACCCTCCTTCCCATGATCCTCTCCTACCTCCTTACCTGCCCCCCCCTTCCCTCTGGTATTCCCCATACTGTTGTCCTGCTATGATTTAACAACAACAAGAACAACAAAAAAAATTGTTTTTTTCTTGCTTTCCTAGCTCTTTGATAAATGACACAATCGATATCCCAACAACTGATCAGTAAACAGCCTAATTAAAGTGTTCAGCTTGTAAAATGGAGCTGCCATGGAGCCCTCCATTAGTGTCCCAGCCAATAAAAAATATAATGGATTTTTAAACATATTCTGCTTCTACCAAGATGAGCTTGCAGCGGGAAGGAAAATGTTTTGGGGAATGGGGAATAAAAAACACACAAAAAAACAGGTCATAACCCATTTTTTAACACCACATCTCCAGGCTCAAATAGAATTACAATTGAACCTCAAGCGCATCCTTTGAAAAACATGTTTCTGTTTAAAATGCTTTTGATTCAATCAAGGGCTCATTAGGTATTCTTCACAAGGCCCTCATCAAAACTGTTTACGCATCTTGTACATCTGGGTAATGTGGAAAAATACCCCAACAACTCTATATTTTGACTTTTCTTAAGTAGCTTCTTCAATTTTTATATCAATATAAGGTTCAAGTAACCATTATGGTATTCTTGCCGAGCCTTCTTGATTTGCCTAAATGCATGAGGCATGTGGAGACCTTTTTCTAGGTTACAGATGCTTTCTTACTGCACCTGGGGGTGATTGCTGGCCCACAGGAGAATACACCAAAAACATGAGCACACAGCATATGCTCTGACATAGAAAAACACAGATTTGGGAGATCAAATAGCTGCAGATTATTTCTTTTCAATTTAATAAAGATTAGCTGTCTTCCTAAGAAAACATGCTCTTTAATCTTCATGGGCACCACAGAGATTCTCAATAGCTCAGGGAATCAAATGCCTGCTTATCCCCCATGGAAAGCATGTAAATATTAAGAAAACTAAAAATGGATCTTGCTTAAATGTCCTCATAAAAATTGCTTTTTGTCCCATTTCTTATTCACAGTTGATTCCCTAGTGAACTATATTAACAAGACATTTCTGAAGATGGGCAACAAATGGAAAGTTTAGTACTTTCTTCTGATGGTATAACTGTCAACCCACCCCAGAGTGAGAGATTTAAAATGAGAAAACCTGCAATAAAGCGAATGAAAATGATAAAATGTCTCTACTAGATGAGCCAAAATACAGAACAGTTATCCACTAAGCATTTATATGTTCTAGAGAAACACATAAAATTAGGGAAGATGAGAGATGGGGGATAACTAACTCTTAACACACACATTCATTTATTTTTTACTTTTGCTATCTGCACAGGCATGATACCCTAAAGCAGTGTCCTCCAGACTTTTATATTAGTTAAAGTATCCTTTTTCCAAGAAATCGTGAGGTCAAATACAAAGATGCATAGACTGGTCATCCTTCACCAACAACTGGGTTCCATGAAGTCCTAGGGCTCCAGAATAGGAACCAAATTAAACCAGAAAGGGGCCAATCCTCTCAAGGATGGGAGCAATAAACATGGGTTTTATAACTATGTACATAAGTAAAATTCATTAAATATTCATGGAAGCCTCTCTGTCACTTAAGCAGACACAAATGTTGAAATCGAGTTGGCTCATTATATATAGGCTCCAGTAATTGGCCAATTTACATTTATTTAACATTTACAAGGTTATGTACAGAAGAGTAAAAAGGTGCAGTTACTCCTTTCCAATAGCTGATAATATAACAAAGTCAGATGCAGTGTACGTGTACTACTTCAGCTAACCCTTCAGACGAAGTAGGTCTCAGATGGAACCTTTATTCATCCATTCAACAATATTTATTAAGTGTCTACGATGTGCTGGGGAATGAGGGATAAAACAGACAAAAGTGCCTGTCATCTACAAGTACCCGGCACTCAACTAGGAATGTCTTCACATTGCCTGGGAATGGCCAACCTGGGATTTAACTCAAGTAATCCAAAACTACTTTCTACGCTTGTCAATTCAAAAACCCTTTATTTTTTTTTAAGTTCAACTTATTATTAAAATGAGTATTTTCATTTGTCTTATTCTATTTTAACTCTGCTCATTGTATTATACAAACATGTTTTGTTTGAGAGAATATATGTATGATTTGTTGGTGCTTTTTTTTTAACTGCTCTAAACTTTTTTCTTATCTTTTCTTAAAATAATTTCAGCAGCATTTCATAATCTCTTCATATATAAGAGAAAATAATGTTACTATCATTGTATAATTTGTGATTGTCTAATGTAATACTTGTTTAATATAAATATAATCCTACAATTATAAGTAAAATATTTAGGATTATTAGCATTCAAGAATATTTTATGCTTATACTTCATGTGTAGGTAAAAGTATTCCATACATTTAAAATATCCATAAAGAAAACACACTAAAATATTTTAAGTATTTTTGTTTAATTAAAAGCATTTATTTAATAACATAAAACAAGCAGTTTGCTTAATAGCTCACATTTTAAATTAGTTAAGTTCCCATTGTATACTATCCATGTGTGCATTATGGGGGAGAATACAGACATTTGATTGCTTTATATCTATCTTCACAGTGAGCATTGTATGTGTCTAATTAAGAACTTTCTAAGGTATGGACACTGCTAGTACATCAATCAAAGATATACAAAGATGGTACATAGTTTAATAATTTATTATGCGAATAAAGCCTTATTCATAGAGTCCAGGCCTCTAGGAATTTCTGGGGGAAAAGTAAAAAATATGGTCCTGTTACATTTGATAAATTACTTACTTTATATGCACATTTTTACACCTCCTAGTTATGCCTGAAATATACAACCACCTGTTCACCACATAAATCCATCAGAGAACTTCTGGGGCATATTTTTCCAATTTCAGAATCTGAGTAAGTCTAGCTACCAAACTAGTGATGGAAGTTTGCATATTCAGGAGGCCTTTTGGGCAATTTGCTGACAGAAATAAGGATTTTCTCACCTCCGTCGGCCTCTCTGGCCTCCTCAGAATCACCAACTGGATCATCCCTCGTATATTTCCTTCCATGGACATTGATCGCCTAAGTGTTTCCATAGCTTCATGGTTGGATTTCCCCAAGAGAGATTCTCCATTAACTGCAATCAGCTGGTCATTCATCCGCAGACGACCATCCTAGGGCAGAGGAAAGAAAAACAGTCCTAAACAGAGAAAAGTCTGGTGATGACATGAGGCTGTTCCAGGGAAAGTTCAAGTTTAAATACAAAAACAGAAAATAATTCAGCTATTAGAAGTGATTTATTTTCTATGGCAGAAAAACGTTCTGGAGCTTTTCAAATAGTCACAAAGACAAGCAATAATGCATTGTGTGAAAGTATTTTTTTAGAAATCTTCGAGTCCTGAGACGCAATAATTTAGATGTTTGTATAACGTCTTTTACTGAGAATCTTTGGCAAGTATGCAAACCCAGCCTGATAATGCCATTTGCTCTGGCAGGGACCATATTGCTGACTCCAGGAAAGGGGTTTGAAAACCAAAGGAAGTGGTCATATCCCTTAGAAACAGGCTTTGCATTATTAGTCACACAGAGACATCACACTTAAATGCCTTGTGCTTGACAGTGGTAATGTGTCTTCAGATGTTGTTGCTGTCTCTATTGAATAAAATTCTCATGTACGTTTCTCTAACACAACCAAAAGTTGCTAGTTTGATAGTCTGCAAAGGAATACAGGGGTATGTCTTGAAGGACATGTACTGTGCTGTCCCTTTGCAGAAAAGCTTGAGAAAGGGGATTGTCAACCTTTTTATAAGGAGGTTCTGACTGCTGAGTACTTTGTCCAGCATCTCCAGGAAGGAACGGCACCTCAGCATGAGAGCAGGCAGCCCGGACTGTAGACTAATTCAGTTCTTGGCACCAGTCATCCTCAGCAGGAATCCCTCACAAAAAGGAGTCTAGCAGTATCCAGCTCTGCCTACAAGAGAACTTGAGAGGACCAAGGTACACCTCCCCAACAGGCAGCCTGGTGGGGAAGTGGTGCTTAAATATTGACAGTCAGATTAGAATCATGACTTATGTCTTGTTGTCCACTAGGGTAGAAAGTTCTTGCTCTGAGGCACAGAGGCAGGGTTAGGGATCTGTGGCTGCTGCTGATGCTGATAAATGTAACAGAGATAACAGTAGGTGTGTACAACAATTTACCTTTCCAGAGATTTCCAACCCCCCCCCCCCCCCCCCCCCATTAACAATCTCAAGTGATTCTCACAGAATTCCAGGCAGTGAAGTCAATTAATGTTTTGCTTCACATTTTACAGATAAGAACATGGAGGCAGGGAAGTGAGGTGACTTGCCCTAGGTCACAAAAGCAAGGTCCAGACAAACCAACCCAAGGCCAGGTATCATGCACCTGGTCTCTTCTGTGTCTCCTAGGATTCCCTTGTTATTCCTCTCTAGACAGTAATTGTGCAACACTTAAACAGGGTCAGGAAAACATTAAAGAGTGCTAGGAGTTGGAAGCATCTGGGATCCATGTTCAAACGAATGGAATGAAATGCACAAGGGAAGCACGTCCTTAAGAAAGGAGAAAAGCAGACATAAAGTGACCAAGAGGGCCAAAACTATGGCTCTGGGAGAGAAATCCTGTGAACAAGTTGATGAGTTTCGACTAGTGCGGTTGCAGATGGTCAGAGGACACTCCTCTGTTGACAGAGGGAACAGGGTGAGTGGTGACAGCTGCTCTGGGGAGTTAATGTCTTAGAAAGGCACTGCTGGAGAGAGTGCTGGGCGCGTGGGATCTCGGGGGCCACCCAAAGGAGCACACAACCTTCTCGGTGAAGAAATGGAGATGGCAAGGCAGTGTGATCGATAGAGAAGGGTGAACCATCAGAGCTGTAAAATGACTGAGTGGGCTGCCACAACAGAGCTGTGTCCCCTCCCTTCCTCTTGTTTTCCCAGTCCACTTAACCTTTACCCTAATTTGGAGCAAATCTGGAAATGAGATTTACAGGAAAGACCAATTGAGAAAGAAATCTCTTATTTCTGTTATCTATTTTGAGTGAGGCACAGAAAAAATAAGAGTAAGGTTCCTGGAAATGGGGGTAAGACAAAAACAACCATAATGGTTCAGTCCTACAGAGGAAGACATTTGATGGAAGGAGGATTATTGGGTTGAATCTTGGGAAGGAGGTTAGGAGGGTCACTCAAAATCTTTTTAGGACAACTGGTTTTTAAAAAGAAGGAGGAAGCAGAAGAGTTGGATCAAGATCCTAGCTATGTTAACAGGAAATGAGGTCTAGTGTTGGATTTGTAGAGGCTTAGTCTTGGCAGGACACCTTGTCCTCTGGAACAGGAAGAAGAAAGATAAAGTTTGAAACTGTATGAATATCTGTAGAATGAAGGAAATGAAATCTGAGTGAGATCCCACCTGGTAACCTCTGGTGAACCTGCTCTGTGAGGTCTGGGACCAGGTCTGTGTGAAGAGGTAACCAAGAGATAAAGAGATATAAAGAGAACATTTTTTGGGGGGGGTATTAGGGTAAATAATCTCTTGCAAACATGCATTAGGCACAAGCTTTTATTTTCAGCTGCATTCTGAGTCTCAAGCATGCAGAACTATGCTGAAGTAGAACATGTTTGCTGAATCCCAACCCCAAACAAAAAGGCAGGTCTGGTCACCCCAGGGCAGCTGTGATTTTTTTTAAAGAGACATTCACATTCATCACAAGCAGCACTGTAGAGCTGTGGGCGTGATAAAAATCCACACTCTCTCATTTTCAGGCTTGGCTAGTCTGTTGCTACTGGTGTGCGCTTTTTCTTAAAAGATAAACGATGGGTAATTTCACTAATGGTGATGCCACTAAGCGCCATGTTGTCTTAACATTTAGAATATAATCACAGAACTTAGAGCTGGAAGCATCCCTAGGGGTCATCTTGTCCAACCTTCTCTGTGTACAGATGAGTAATGTGATGGCCAAAGAGGACCAGAAGTCATTTATTGAACTCCTCTTAAGAGAAGGCGCTTAGATTAGGACCTGCTCAGCTGCATTAGAAGAGCCCAAGTCCTGACTTCTCGGCATCACCTATTCACTAACCATTCTGTCATCTACAAAGATGACTAGTCCCTATAGCAGTAATGCTCCAAGCAGAAAGGGACTTTCAAACCCAGAGAGGACAATGTTACATGATATCTCCTAGAAGAGAACCCTACCTGCAAAGCCAGTCAGATGGCAAACAATGTGAAGACAGGAGACTGAGCTGGGGGATGGAAGAGCAAGAAAGCGAACTAGAAGAGGGAGAAAAAGAAAACACCCCTCTACCCATCTGACTTTCTATATATACCTACCGAGGTCTAGTCTTGATGTAAAATGAGGTTGGTTCAATGAGGTCATTACTCCTCACTCATCAAATATCACTCAGAATTATGTATGTCTATTCTGCTTTGGAGTAATTTTGTCAAGAAAAGTAGTTTTTTATTTCCCCTCCCCCAGTGATATTATGTCCAAGCAAATGCTTAATTAAGCATGAGGATGCTAACTCTCATCAACTGATTTTATATAAGTGAATTCAACTATCTAAGGATATTCCTCAGTAATTTTAGAGTGTTTATTTCACTATAATCTGGGCCATGGTTACATTCTTTTTTTTAATTCCTTTCTGCTATATACTGAACGTTTGTATCCCCCACGCCCCTGCCCAAATTTATATGTTGAAATCCTGACTTCCAAGATAAGGTTATTAGGAGATGGGGCATTTGGGGAGTGATTAGGTTATGAGAATGGAGTCCTAATGAATGGGATTAGTGTTCTTAAAATGGGGCCTGAGTGAGAGAGATCCCTGCTCCTTCATGCCATGTGAGGTTACAGCAAGATGATGCCATCGATCAACCCAAAGGGAGTCCTGACCAGACTCCTATCCGCTGGTGCCTTGATCTTAGGCTTCGGCCTCCAAAATTGTGAAAAATAAATTCCTGTTGTTTATAAGTCAGACAGTTTATGGTATCACGTTCAACAGCCTGAACACATGGAGACACTTTCCTTCCTAATCACAATGACAGCGGCTATACTCTCACCTCTAGCAACCCCCTAACCAACGTATCCATCCTCAAGCTAGGAGCGACTACAGAAAATTTTCAAAAGAGGAAGAACAGAGAAAAGGTAAGAAGTGACTTCCTTAGGGCCAGTAAAAACTGGTAGGAGATTTGAGTCTTCTCCGTGTCCTGGGCTGTCTTCAAATCCCATCAGCCCTCACCTGGTTCTAATGCAGGAGGAAGAGCGAACTGTTTGAGTTTTACATCTCCCTTTAACTGAACACTAATACAGGCCAGTCCTTGTGCAAATATTTTGCATATGTTCTCTCATTCCTTTCTTACCACAGCCCTTTGACACTGCTCTTCACTATTTAAGAGATATAAAAAGGAGGCTCAGAGAAATTAAGTGACTTGTTAAAGGGCACTGGCATGACCAGGTCTACTTGTCTTTGAGTCAGACGTGTAGCTGTCATGCTACATTGCATCTAAAATCAGAGTCCTAGAGATGAGTAAAGGGACTACAGTTATTAATGACAAGAATTATTAATGATTTTCTACTTTGCAGTCATTGTGCTAAAACCTTTACATGCACTAGCCGATTTAATCCTTACAGCAATCCTACACATTAGGGACTATTGCCCCATTTTATAGCAGAGGAAACCAAAGACCAGGCTGGTTGAATGCATTATGACAATTCACATTTCCAAAAGCTGATTTGAACTGTCTTATTCACTCGAAAGCCCATGTTTTCATCCACTTTGCTAATAATTCTTGTGTTTTAGGGGCTCTTCACCTTCTTTGAGTATCTAATAAAAGCTACAGATTCTTACCTCTTAAAATAAATCTTGCTTTAGCCAGTTTGGCTTAGTGGATAGAGTGTCTGCCCACAAACTGAAGGGTCCCTGGTTCAATTCCAGTCAATGGTACATACCTAAGTTGCAGACTAGATCCCTGCCCTGGTCCTGGCTCATTTGAGAGGCAACCAATTGATATGTCTCTCTCACATCAATGTTTCTCTCTCCCCTTCCTTTCCACTCTCTCTAAAAATCAATAAAAAAAATCCTCAGATGAGGATTCTCAACAATGAAAATAAATAAACAAACAAAAATAAATATTTACACCATGGTTTCTCCTCAGCTGGACACTAGGCCA